TGTCTTTCCCTTACCCCCACCTACCCCACCTTCCCTTTCACGTAACAACTGGTGATGCTCAGAAGTGCACATTAAAAAGCTGGAGAGAAATCTAGTAACCTCTAAGGCATTTTTTATCGTTCAACAGGAAAACACCTGTAATTTAAGCCTGTAAGAGGCTCTGAACCCTGTTTTGTTGTTTTGCATTCTTATGGATGCCAAGAACAATGACCTACCTTTGTAGCATATTTCAGAAGCTGAAAATGAAGATCTATACAACTGTATACACCAACTATGCATAAACAAGATACTTGAGCAAGAACCTTTCTACTGTCCATGACCACATGGCACCAGTACTTCTTCGTTAGTTATCAACCTTTTATGTTAATTGGAAATTCCTTACTTTGGGACCTCACCTTATTCATGTGGATTTGCTGCTGGTACTGTTTCTGCTTCTCCAAAAATTGTTGATGCTGCTGCTGGATGACCAGCTGGGCCAAAGTAGTCTGAGGAAGAGGAGCTGACTGGGTTCGATTCAGCGGCCTGTGACGAGGCAGTTTGTGGGCAGCTCTTATGCCAGGTGAGACTCTCTCCTTTGCTGCCAAAGGAGACTGTGGATGAAGAGGAACTGCTCCTGCAAAACAGGGACATTTCACTCCCACTTGAAGAACAACAAACTAATAGTTCTAACAGGGAGAAAGCTTCAGCGAGAGAGGGGCGTATATTGCAGAACATTGCACCAGCACTGATGCAGTGGGCTGTGTACCACGTGCCTCGCTGTGCTGGGAAGTTCAACAGCTGCAGAAGAATGTGATGAAGTAATCATTTTCTCTTTTCTGTAATCACTGAATTCTTTCCGGCCAACACACTGGAGCAGAATCTCTAAAGGGGGAAAATAAAGATGCTGTCCCTTTTTCCCTCACCCTTCCACTCTTCCCAACGGTTAGGATGTACAGTATCTATATTAAACCTTCGGGCTAATGTGAATAAAAATGTCATTAAAAACATTTTCAATTATTATTTTGTTGAAGCTTTGATCATTACCAGTCACAAGAAGTTTCTGCTGTCTCATTTGTTCTTTCAGTAACAGATGCTGCAAAAGAGCTTGGTGGCTGCTATTTGGCTTTCCCTCCAAAGGAACATGAGGATGAGTTGAGGATGGAGGAATGTTTCCCCCATACTGTCCAGCCAAGGCCGCTCCTTGTCTGAGCGACTGGGTGTCACCCTTCTGCTTTTCTTTGAATGATGATGAAGCCTGTCAAAGAACAATGGCACTGGTAACTGCTTTTCAAAGACCTGGCCATTTATATATCCTCTTGATTAAATGGTCTTATGTCATACTCTATGAACATATATATACAGAAGAAAAGGTTAATATCTCTATCTTACTCTTTGACTGTGAGATGAACAGGGAGGAAGAACATGCCAGTTAAATGTAACACTGTGAGAAACTGGGTAATGAAACCAAAAAAATCAGTAAGAAACGCCAAAGCATAAGGAACTACTAGTTAGAACATTACTAATGAAAAGACTGGACCTATCCTTAAAATTGCTAATGACCTTCCCACAGCCTTCTGCACAGGAAAACAGGGGATCAGAAGAAGTAGTTTCCACTGAGTTTGGAAAAGGCAAGGCTTGGTTTTTCCTGTGACTTTCCATCAGACAGCAAGCCAATCAGCAAAAAAAAATAATTACCTGTAATATTGGGAAGCTATTACTTTTCCTGGAGCACTCCCTGACTCCCTGAAGGACAGCACAAGGTAAGGTTTACTCTTTGCAAAGCACATTTGTATAGTTAAACTCGCATCTACAGAATGACCAGTGGCAGAATTTTCAAATATTTCACTGTGCCTCAGATTTCACCTCTAGGTCACTGTAGCTTGGTCTAGATCTAAAGATCCTTATCGATCAGCATGGATTTCCATACATGCCATGTCTGTGTTTTTGTACATTTCATATATTAATTTAACATTAGCTCTAAATAAAGCTGATTTCTTCAGACTGAACAAAGCGCGTATGAATATAAATGTCATCATAATATTAAATGTTGTTCACATATCACTGGTTTTAGTTGTCTGATTGATAGCATACCCCTCAAAGAACAATCTTAGCTGCAAGACTACTAGATTCTTCCCATGCTATGCTCCAGCCTAGCTTAGGTTGCTACTGGAATCTCATAAAAAGTTAGAGGTGCTGTACTTTACCAGGTAGGGGTGATCATACAATTTGGACTTTTATACTACATGATCTCCTCACATACTTTTTACCACGTCTGAAATCCCTTATATGATTTGCAGACATAAATGCAATGCATGTGGCCCATACTTAGCTAAGCTCCACACTGGCACTTGTTTTATTTGTGATTGAGAATGATTATTGCTTTCAAATTGTGCCTTTAAATGTTCAGATCTTGCCCAATGCAAAGAAAAGTCTGGTTTCTACTCTGAACTGCTTACATTCCAAAATACTAACAAAACCCAGAACAGTCAGAAAGTAGGTTTTCTCAAAGCAAACGTAGACAGGAAGGCCTGAGACTGGTCACTTACACTGATTTGAGGTTGTACTGCTGGAAGTCCCAAGGTAATGTTGGGCAGAGAAGGGGATGTGTACAGACTCAACAAGTTCACTGATTCATCCTGCATCAAAAGCCGTTGCTGTGAAACCAGATGCTGGAATAAAGGGGAAAAAAAAAAAAAACAAAACACAAAAAAACCAAACCCCATAAGTATGATCTCCAAGCTTTTTATTTTGGTTACTTTATCCTCATTGTCCTGGTACATTCAAAGTCAATTTTGTGGCATGCATTGGTTTGCCTCTCAATGGAGCTCCAGATAAGGAAAAGTACTGTCCCTGTGAAAAAGTTGTTGATATTTCTTTTCTTAAGAAAACAACTGATAGATGTCAGGGATTATTCCTTGTTTAGTAAATCAAATTTCCATGCAAAATCATAACCCTGAGGATACCTAGACCAACTCTTCTCATTTACTTCCCATCATCTCAACCTCAGTTCTTCTCATCAACTGCAATTTCACTACCAGGAACTCAAAGGAAATTTAGCCAATTAATTGAGGCATCTAGGTAAACCAAAGGTGTCAGGAATGTGGATGTATTAAACTTTTACTTTACCATAGTTACATAGTTACTGTAATTTTTATTGTAAGATAGGAAATGTGATTTCTACTTAGTCCATGTATTACCCAGATTATGACATGAGGCTGTTTCCAGCACATTATTTACTTCCATTGACACAGGAATTCTGGGTAGAAACTGAGGCACACTGCCACATCTGCCATTTAATAAAATGTATTGTCTCTCTCTGTATGTGCATATACACAAAAACAGTGTCCTATCATTCTCAGATGGTGAGATACCCCTCACAGCTTTCCCTTTGAGTTAAAATCTTTAACACTTCTTTTGAAGCCTTTTGATATATTTTTCAAGGACATGGAATTGTTGATATATTTTTAATTACTGTCAAGGAAAACCAGACATTGTATAGAGATCACCCTTTGTCTTTCCATTCTAGATTCATTGGGAAGAAACATAAAGAGTTACATTATCACAACAGGAATCTTTTTGAAGCCTTTGCCTTTCTGCTCTAACAGTCATGTTTTTCAACATGTGGTCTAGCATAGTTGTTGGAATTACATTTTATGTTTAACTCTTGCTTCCCTCCCAGAACTTTTAACACAATAAGAGCTACAAAGGTCTTATTAGACTTCGGAACTCTGGCATGATATGGTCCCCAAGGGAACAACATCCTTGAAAAAGAATACCCTGTGTAACAGTATGACACAGTGACTGCTTTCTTCCCAAACAAAAAGCATATGGGACTCCAATAATAGACCACCTCCAAGAGGGATACTGCACACTCGGGCTTTGACTAAAGTAAATATAATAACTTGTCAAGCATATTGTGGGGACCTGTAGATTTTCCCCTGGACAAACCTGGAATATCAATTAACTCTGTAAAATACTTTGTGCTAATACAATGCAACTTCAGACCATCAATGAAAAGTGGTTAAGCAGAAAAACACAGGATGTTATTCCAAAACATAACCTTCCTCATACAGTTTGTTTGCAGATACGACCTATCACTGAGACAATAACACTAGAAGTCTATATCAGTAATTTTCTTTCAGTACCTAGGGAATGTCAACAGCATAGAAAACAAAGAAGCTTCACTTGTATATTACATTAATTCCCAGCTAACAGTGTCTTGCCTTGATAACATCCACCTCCGACTATGAATAAAACCAAGTATGTCAAGATTATGGAGATATTACTGAGCAAGATTACAAAGATTTAACTGAAAAAAAGACATTGCAGCAGCTCTAATGTGTCTCCTAGAAACATAATCAAATCTGTAGCAACTGCAGCATCTATACAAAGCCACGTCAAAAATACATGTTTTCTTTTTGGTTTTCAATATGCCACTATTACCTTCTAAAATCTGAATTAACGAACATAACAGTGACAGGTAACCACAGGAATTTAATGTTGAAAATAGGAGTTTATCATTAAGATCATTTCCATCCAATTTCTAATACTGCTAATAATCAGTTATTTCCATCTTGGGAAGTAACAAACTTTCAAAAATATTTTCAGGTAGAATTAGCTTAAGCATCAGTTAAATCTCATCTCCCCAAATAAGTTTAGTGGCATAAGGGTCCTGCACAAGCTGAGGCAGAACTTCATGACACCAGCTGCAGCTTCTCATTTTATTCAGTGGACAATACCCTGAAATGGTGGCACAATCTGAAATGGTGGCACAATCTGGAGTTGCCAGCAGTGTCATTTGGCACCACGATGGCTAAGCCACGGTCGTCGTCCCACATGCAGACTTGATGGTTTGGATTGGCACCCAAATTAGCCCAAAGAGCAATTTGGCTCATATACTTACTCACTGGGGCCATGGATCCTGCTTCCTGATGCTTATAACAGCCTGTCAACAGAGCTACTCTCTTACTTAAGAAAGAGTACAATAGCCTCATGTTATCAAGACATGGTGACGAGCAAGCAATCATGATTAGTTATTGCACTTCTGTTGTGCTACCATCACCTGCTGAGAAGCAAGAACACAAATCTTCTGTGTGCATGTTTTTATGCACGTTTATACATTAGGAGGGGAAGAGCAAATGGTTTGGCTTTAATATTTCTCAATTGTCAAGCTACAGTAAGGTTGTCATGGCTTTTAATATTCACAATTACTTCCATTCTTATTTTTTAAGGCATTCAGGATTTTTTTTTTGTAATTAATTTGACTTTTGTCATATACACTTGAAGCAAACCTCATGAGTGGGTCAGAAACCTACGTAATTTTTCCACTAGCCACTGGCAAAGAGCACCTCAAGGAGCTCAGTATTAGAAACATAGTGCTGTGAGGTTGCACAAATCAAGTATGTGTTTATCTGCAATGCATGTCATTTATATCTCCTGTATAATCAGGTGATATTTTAGGAAATGTCGCTCTCCAAAACACATATGAAAGAAAGAATATGATCCAAAGGTTACGCCAACTGGAAACTTTCCGTTGCCTTCAGTGGCTTTTGACCAGGCAGTGAATGCCTAAAATTAATCATTTCACATGACTAAGGCAGGTTGTCCCTCTGAACTCAAGGGACGTGCTGTGCAGGGTCTCAATCCTGCTTGCATTTCTCATGCAAGTAAGATTTAGCCCCAGCACAGCAGGTGACCTGAAAGTGTACAGCATGCTCCAAGAGACAAATAGCTACTGCAGTGAACCTTGATGATACTGGAGACAACTGGGCCTAATAAAAACAGCATTTTATTTATAAGGTGCAATTAAAATCTCGAGCTTAACTTTCAAGTTTCATATAATGAGACCAGTGTTTTAAAAAATGGTAGTGAAAGTACCATTAAAGGAACTGTGACAGTAAAAGACTATCTGCAAAAATGTAGCATTTGGAGTGCACCTTTGTTAATTCAACAAAATGTAAATGTCTGCCCACCAGACTGCTCCAGAGGATAAACCACTTAAGTCTTGCTCTTCAAATGGATATGGCAAAAATACTTTAAAAATCTGTTTCATTACTGATAGTGCTCTAATTCTGTCTATACACTGGAGTGTAAATATTTACGGTATTGACTCATGTTTTACTGGTAAATGGTTCTCTGCCATAGCAACCTGTTTTCCTCCAGCATAAAGTGTTTTATTTGCTGCCATGAAAACCGCAGCTCTCCACCCACTCAGATATGAGCACAGCACTTACTGCAAATGTCACAACAAAAATTATGAAACAACAGCAACGACGTGAGTCATGTGGGATTACAGAAAAACAAGTGATATTTTGGGTCATTTTGGAACACTTATCCTATTATTAGAAACTTCTGTACTTCGTGTATCTGATGAAAAATTGATTAGATACATAGCTTTTGAGAGCTGGCAGTTAATGCTAAACTAGAAAAGAGATATGTAGGAGTTTGGCTGCTGTTAAACTACCACAGAAAATCCCACTGAAATCAAACTGCCCTGAAGCTGAGATTTATGGAAAAAAAGTTTGAGCTCAGGGCCACAGCATTAAGAGTCAAGTAACCAGAGAGGTAAAGAAATCCCCAACTGGATCCAGAAATAGAAATCTGTAGTTTCACTTCTTAGCACACTTCCAGTGAGTTAAGTGACCGACTCCAGCACACAGAGCTCAACTTCATTAGGAACTTTTTAGGCTCATTTGATCATCTGTGATTGTATGGCGAGTCTGTAACTTCTGAAGTCTGGCACAGTGATGGCAAATGATGTGCAATGTGGTGTCCTACTAATAAATAGAATATAACTCTGCTGGTTGCTTCTACAACCTTTCCAGAGCTCTCCAAACAGAGATTTCCAGTCTGACCAGATTGTATGCACTTCTGATGCATACATCAGAACAACACTGATGGTTCAACACTGTTGGCAAATGTCCATAAATTATAACGTGCAAAGTAGCAACCACTTTATATTGGTCTGAGACGTGACTCCTTTTGCATTTTGTAGTATCCTCAAGTCAATAAAAGATCCAGCTGGACAGGATTTCATGTTTAATACAGCACTGACACCTACGTATTAATAATTTCTGTCTAAAACATTCTCATATGAAAATACACCACTTAATTCCACTAAACTAGGATCTGATCTAATCCAAATGATGGATCTCACTCTGCATCATTTAAATTTCTTTGCAGTCACATACAGGGGGGCTATGAGCCACATGTTAGCCATCAATGCAATTTTTCTTTCTTTTTGGTTACGGGCCAGAGGGAGGCTACTAATCAGTGTGCAGAGGTCACCCACCTGCCCCCTGGATCATAGTTCACACACACAATTAATTCATTATGAGGAAAAGTCACTGCTGGAGGTTGAACTGCCCATTCCAGGTTTTTTTGAGGTGAGTGTCCTGCCACTGACCTGGAGAAATAGCTCCATTAGCTAAAACTCTGTTAAATCACATTTTCTGATGCAATTTTTCTAACATAAACAGTATAAACCAACAATTAACAGAAAACTTTGCCACCAAAGCAGGAATTCCTCTAAGTATAGACACTGTATACAAAATATTGTGGAATTTGTTTCTCTCCTAGTTGCATTAGTTGCACTATTGTCCCTTTTATTGCCATAGAAACCACAACTTAGGCACGTTGTCTATGCTAAATAAGGTTTATCACAACTGATTTACTATCTGCATTCCTGTTGTTAAAGGCACATACATATGAAACAGAATAAGGAGTAGTTAAGATTCCTTTGTGTGTAATTTTGATTTACAAAACAAGTATCCAAGACCCTGGTTTGTCAGTTACATTGGTAAGTACTGCCCTGATAAGGTAATTGAGGCACAGTAAAATAAAAGGATTTAGTTACCCAACTCCAATACTGTAATTAAACAAATCTACTTCAGCAGCCATCTGAGCCTAGGACCACCTTAAGTCACGTGTGTCAACAATGCCTAAATCACTCTTTTGCACGTGAAAGTTCTTCATCAGCATTCAGCACTGTGCATCTCTTCAGGTTACCCCAGAAAGTAATGTTCTGCAACACAGATGCTTCCATGTTCCTTCCAAAGCTGCTCCCCAGTCTTCCAGTAGTATTACTGCTGCTTTTGTTTGAACTTACATTACCAAAGAGTCTCCTGAACATGCATCTCATACATTGAAGATGTATCTCATATGTAACACACTCTGATGTAAGCTTGCAGTAGTGTCCTGGTATTCCTGATAATTATATCTTCTGCAATTGCTCTGCTTGTGAGCATGATCAAACTGAAGTTTCAAATCTCTACGATCTAGGAATCTGAGCAATTATCTAGCCGATGAAGAGTCTTACCTCAGCCTGCACGTTCGATGACAAAACTGAGGTTTCACTTTCTGCTATACTGCTGGTTGGACCATTGCTTGGGGAACTGGGACCAGATCCAGGGGAGCTGCTACTGACTGAGGATTCTGAAAAAGAGATTAGGCATACATAAATTTCACACTGCAAAGGAAGAAATGATCTTGATTAACTGCATACTCTGTATGGCACAGGATTTTTTGCTATTGGAAATTACCTATTGGCTATGCTATTTACTTATGTTAAAGATTTTTAATTTATCCTCCATTTCTTCTAGTTTTCATTTTATAGGGCTAATAAGGAAGGATGCCCTTGGTCTTTCCCCTTCTGATTTATCTGCTTCACAGAGGCAGAATTTACTGTTTATTTTTCCCCAAAAGATGGCATGTTACTCAGTATCAGGCAGAGATACAGAAATAAACTTGAAATGAGTAAAAAGAAAATAAAGATTTTCTTTTTAATTGCAGAGTCCTGCCTCTGTAAGAGATCAAAATGACAGAGATAGTAGGCTTGCAAAGGTCATGATAACATGTCATCAATTCATGAGGCCTACTGCCATCTCCTTTCTGCTTAGAAAGGGCTGAGCCCATTGTGGACTAACTATTACATACAGAAGTACTAATGGCAAAACATACACCACTTACCCTACTTTGCCACAAACATGAAGGAATATTTACAGCATACAAAAATCTTAATATAGCATTTGAAATGCTGTATGTTACCTTGATTTAAAACTTTCTGAATTCTGTGTAAGGTAAAGAGGAAGAAGATGATCTCATTGTGTGTTGTTTCATTGAGTTATTCTAATTCTACACTGATCTAAATTAAAGTCACATAATAGAAACAGTTAACAAGGTTAAAGATGGAAAAGCACAGCAGTTAAGCCTATTTCATGGGTTTGCATTCAAATTAAAGTACTCAAGATGTTAAGTAATATCTAAATGTGGCAGTAAATATTCTATAGTCATTTCTTTTCTCCTTCAACCTTTCTTCCTCAGTTCACATGCAAAAATACATCCTGACTTTGCTGAAATTACCAGGAGACTTCATAGCCGTTTCTTGGAGGCATTACTCTTTCTTACTAGAGTTGACTTCTGTTTACTGAAGTGAATCTGTTCCCAGTTACACTATCTGGTCAGGTAAAGTTCTTGCATCATATTTTCTTTTTTCTCCAGTTTTCATAGAAGAGCAGAATACAAACATTCTTTTTTCTCATTTGTTTAAGAATGACAATAGCACTTTTGGTGTAATAGGCATTTAAATAAAGGGCTATTATCAGTTAAAAGAATCTAAAATAAGGAGAAAAAGGTTTCAGTCAGAAATGTTTGATCAGGGAAGTTTTGATTATCAAAGGTGCAAAATGTCATATAGCCAATATTAATAGTTACAATGGTTATCTGTAAGTCTCCAAATTATTGTCAGAGCTAGGAAGAGAACACATTTATTTTCAAGTTTCTGTTATTTTCATAGCCGAAGAAAACCCTCCTGGGACATGTGTTTCACAAGAAAAAGATATCCGCTAAAACTAAGGAAGGGGAGATCAAGAATCTCATAAGAGCTTCAGCAAATTGAAATAGTACATTAGCTGTAATATGGAAATAACTTATAGGTAAATCATCTTATTTAGTTACTTTCATACATACATTCATATCCATGTCCCAGTTTTACACGTCACACTGTGAAAAGTGACAAGAACTGCATGTATGGGGACATTGCTATGAATTTGTGCATATTTGTGTTATATTTCCGTTCTGGTGTGACATAATTCTGAAATACCAAGTGAATTCAGGTACATGCCTGACAGACAAATAAGAGTTGGTTGCACAAAGACATAGCCTGATTGTAACTTCTCTTGAACAAGCTATGAAGCTACCAAATATTGATGCAGTCAAAGCAAGAAATGTCAGAATGATGCCAAATACTGTAAATATTCTTTTCTTTTGACTTCACAAATAAGGCCTTGCCATCATCCTCACCCTAAGAACTAGATATGAGAGGGCTTTAGGGTGTTTGGCAACTTGGGTGCAAATCTGCAAAATTTACTACTCTGCAACACCAAATGTGCCGAAGAAAGCCTTAGCATCCATAAGTCATCCATTCTGTCCCTTTTTAAGCTGAAGGACAGCAAAAATATCGAAAACAAATACTACTTGATGAAAAATTTTTACTCTGCTTGTTTTTGCTTGTTTCACTATATGTATAATTCTGTATTTTCACATGCTAAGAGTTCACTCTCATTTACTAAGAATTACTTACTATCTGCTATGACCCAAAATATGCCTGCCACTGAATATTTAAATGTTTCAATTCTTTCTTGTCAAAAAACAGCCTATTGAGCCCTTACATCAAAACAACTAATCCTGATGTTTTGAAACAAAGAAACCAAAGGCATAGGGCCAAACACAAGATTCGGAAATGTCCCTGATTAGCCTAATGCCACATAGGTGGCTCTGTGCCTGCTGTCAGCATCTGTGTTTCCAGGGGAGATGGGACATGGGTGATGCCAGACACAAACCATTGTCCATGTACAGAATACACAAATTAAGGGAAGAGACTGTTATTGTTTTTTTCCTTTTATCTCCCTTTCCACAGTCTACCATATATTTGTTCTCATACTTGCTGTAGTAAAGTACTGTTTTCCAAGCTGGCTTTAAAGTATGGCTTTCAAATTAACAATGACTTTTTAATAAGTGTCAGGAAACTTTAGATTGCAATCTATTTTTACATAACCATTTAATAAGGTTTTCTTTTCAGCAGCAGAAAAACATACAACCTTTTGTTTAGTAAACAGTTTCAATTCCAAAATACCCACTATCCTGGGAACAGTCACAGCTGATACAGAATTTCTCCATCCTTAATTACCTGTCACCTCGAAGAGTCGCTTCTTCAATGAACTGACATTTCCATCCTTCCTCCTGAGTAAAGGGCTGCTTCTCCTTTCTGTCACCTTTTGTTTTAACCTGGAACGTACCTTCAAATTGGGCTCTGAGGCTGGAAATAAAGAGAAGAAAATAAATTATTACAAATCAAATTACTGCTTTGTGTCAGACACCACTGACATTCCCTGTAGGGCCTCATCTGATCCAAGGAGGGCTTGGAGGCAGAGATTTTGATGTTCATACTCCCCAGCCACTGTGCTGCTCCTCACAGAACTCCATTTTATATTGGAGGCTAGGAAAGAGAAGAGAGCTGAAAAGCTTTTTATCTGATTATTTTTCTTATCCCACTTCAACCCTGAAGTTACTCATTAATTATTGTTTATCTTGTAACTATTAATTATAAATGAACTCAATTTTTATGCTATATCATGCTTACCACTCTTGTAGGTGAAAACTTGGATGGAAATACGTCTTGGAACTTGGTACCTTATAATTGGATTATGGTCTGATGACAGAAATAGAGAGAAGCCTCTGCTGTTTCCTTTTGATTTCTCTTAGAAATATAAATTACGACAAGCCTGCTGGCAGAACATTTCTTGGTCAGCAATTTTAGGCCCAGAATGTTGATGTTTTCTGAGTAACACACCAAACAACTAGATTTATGACAGAGTCCTAAGAACATTTACACAGAAAAATATATGCTCTGAAAACGAAGAACTAGGATTGATTCCCAGAAAACCTAGGATTATATTTAATGCACGTTGGTCAAGTTCCACCTTTGTTTCTGAAATGGACGTCGTCTTTTCATATGAAGGCCAGAAATAAATCTCTACTGTGCTTTTTATTTTGTGATATTTTTAGCATAATAAAATGTTTCATGTACTCATTTATCTGTTTTCCTAAGTAAATCCTCTATCACATAGACGAAGAACTAGTGAAAGATAACTGTGGCATAGAATGTGTTTATATTTCCCTTTCTGGAACTGAGGCTTGGCTAAGCAATATCTCAAAACAGAAAGAGCTGGAAACTGGTATCAGTTCTCTCTCATATGTATGGACATAAGTCCAGCCCCAAACAAGGACCAAGAGTTAGCAGAAAACCAAAATAAATTGAATCTTCATTCAATTCAGCATTACATAATTTGCCACTTTGGGACAGGAACTCAATCCTACGCTCTAATTCCAGTTCCTGCCCCGCATGTAATATCACACGTCTTTTTCCTGCTGTCCCCCTTGTTCCCTCAGGGATGGGGGCATTAAAAAGGCTGATGTGAGAGCAAGGGGGCTGCTGTAACCTGCAATACTGCAGTCGTGTGCTGGCTGTTGTCATCTGTTATGCTGCTCTCGGCAAGTGCTCCATTCTAAGCGGCCTGTGCCTCGAGTACATTTCAGACCAAAATACACAAGCTAGCACACCACTGGAAATCTTTAATAATAAAACTATTCACAAGAAATCTATTTTTTATCACTTACTACCATTGTTAAGACCAATGATTCTAGCGATGGAGTACAGATGACTTGTTTGCTGCCTAAGGTACCATTTGCTATGCAAATGAAAATATAACAATGGACTAAGAATACATTACATGCTTTCACCACAGATCTCACCAGGTATGATGACTTTTGAAAAAAAAAGGGGTTCACTCCTTTTGCACTTAGTCATTTTGATTTATACTATTCTGTACTCTTAAAATTTCAGAGAATATTTTAATACCCATGACACACTAATGTGATGCAAATCCTCTGCAGAAATGCTCCACTTCTATATAAATGTGTCATGCTCAGCCACAGCAATTGCCTTTCTATTTTTACCACGTTTCCATCATATTCTGCATCTGAATCAATCATATAAGCAGAAAAAGCAGATCGTGATGTCAACGTCTGAATTTATGAGCCGCTTGAGAAGAGAGCGCTCGCATGAAAAGACAAAGACCATTTTTAAATGGGAATAATCAATTTTAAAATGAACAGCCACGGAGAAGAGTGGGTTTTAAATTATAAAATAAATCTTGCCATAACACCCAAAGCCAAGGTTTAAAAAGTGTTTGCTTCAAATACTGGCTCTCCTGAATGTCTCCCATGAGACACTGACAGCTCCTAACATGGTACAAGCTAGGACCTGATGGCTGGGAATAAGAATTCAGGTTTCAGTGCACTAAATATATAAATCTAAGCAATCTGAGGATGTCTGCTCCAATGGACAAAATGCAGAACTGGAAAGTGGTTTCTTGATACCCATCTGTGGCTGAGGCATTGACTTGGTGTGTGACTGTAGAGGTTGCTGGACCATCCTGCCCCACTGATGCTGAAGCAGAATTATTGTAGACTGCAACAGATATGCATCACAACAGCAATCCTCTGTGCCTCAGTGCACTCCTACATGAAGGGAGTAATAATACATTTATAGGTGTCAATTCTCTTCTGATAGTTAAAAGGCAAAAATAAATATTTTAAGCTTCAAGCATAGAACTGTGGATTAAAATTATAAAAGTGTGTGTATATGTATATATGCACACAGATAGCCCCAAAGCACAAACATTAGATTATTTAGAAATTATTTTAAACCTTTAAACTCCAAATTGCAAACAAACAAGTGAGCAAAAAGTGATAAGAAATTTTTCAAAGGTTTTTGTTTGTTTGTTTGTTTGTTTGTTTTTACTTAAATTGTTCCCCTAGCATTTGAAAGGCCCTTGGAAAGCCTTAGTAGCAAATGATGACAAATAATTTATCTGCCTTATGTTTCTAATGAGGATTTGGTTCATACTTTAACTAGTGGTTCTTAGTAGTGGTCTATAGAGAGATAATGCTCAAAATAACTGTTTTGCATTAGCCACCCCTTTAAATATTTCTGCTGCACGCTATTAACACCTTTGCTCAACTAATTAATCCACAGCCAAGGCTGACTACATTCATCACTTAAACGCATTCTCCATGTGGAAAAGTGTCACATTGGGAGCCAGTGCCAAATAACTTCTGAGGCTAAAGCTTTACTCACTGGTTTGCTGCAGTGTAGCTTCCTCATACAGATATAAGCCTCTAAATATTAACTGGGTCTTGCTCCATTAATACCACAAAATAATTGAAAAGATCTTTGTGTAGTCTATTATTTTACATGGTGATTTAGCCACAAGCCAGGACAATCACAGAATCACAGAATGTTAG